TGTACAAATGTGCTTTACACAATTGATGTATGTATGGATTGTGATAAGAGTTATATGAGCCCCTAATAAAATTATTTTTTTTAAAGTACTTGAGTGGAGGCCCACTGCCCATCTGTTACCTTAATACTTAACATAGAGCTATGTCCCTATTGTTACATACAAACATATTTATATATGTGCATGTATTTAGACCTCTATAAATGTCCTTTGCCTCCTACTTCCTCTATTTCCTTCCACTTTCCTCTTGTACCACCATCATGTTTGACCTTTATGCGGCTTTCTGTAATTCCTCTTGGTTACAAACCCCACCAGGCATTCTACGCCCTCCTCATCAATTTTAGATCATTTGTTTTTCCCTTGTCCCTGGGTTTGTTGGCTCCCCACTTCTTTTCCCCACCTCCCCCTCTCCCGTGTCACCCCAGAACTGCCCATTGTTTTCTCCTTGGGATTGTTTGTCTTGCCTCATATAGATAGAAATAAAAAATTTTTTAAAAGCCTATAAATAGTTCCAAGTCTGTCTGTCGACTTTGTGAATGTTTTCCTACAGAGTCTGAGGAAGTATCAAGCACTGCCCCCAAAGTCTATTTTTGGGATTCTTCAGGGGCTTTTTTGCTTTGATCCCCTTGCTGCTCTGTTGTGCTCCCTTCCTGTTTCACCCCAGTGTGTGTGTGTGTGTGTGGGGCGTGTCAGATAGGGCACAATTCGCACACTGTGTCTGCAGTGTGGCCCCCCACAGTGCTATGAGTCAGTGAGAAGACTTTGCGTCTCATGGTGGGGCCAGCCCTATAGTCCTTTCTGTGCATTTGCTGCACCAAGCAGGAATATTGTCCTCGGGGCTTGGTGGGCCAGGATGCGGTCCACTCTCTCTCCTCCCCTCTTAGTTTGCTCCTATGTGTTCTGCGCAGACCCACTCCTCTCCCCGAGCTGTATCTTTAGTGCTGTTCTCTGTAATGCATTCTTCTAGGGAGGGGTCCACATAGCTGGGGTTGGGGCCAACCCTGCAGACCTCTCTGCTAGTTTGGTTCCTTCAGCATTTTTTTAATAACTGACAGAGATTTGGGTTTTTGTTTTATTATGTGTGTATGTTTGATATATTTTAGACCTCCCTGTACATCGCAAATACAAATATCAAAATTGTTTTTATTTAAATAGAGCACCATAAGAAAGAAGCTCTAAACAGTAAGATTTTGAAGTTAGTGGGATTCTATAGGCTAAGTTTATAAACTTAGGAATGAATAATAAAAGTAGTGAATAAATAAGGCCTCATGCAGTCCTTTATCCTTGCACACTAGGGAGTGAAGGGTGGAATGCACAGCTACATGGTTTCTGTCACAACAGGTCACACAATAGGTTTGGAAGTTCTGGAACTGGCAGAGTTGCACTGAGAACATATGCCCCTAGGGACCATGTAGGGAGCTAGAAAGAGAAATGAAAGTTATGAACCATGTAATCTCAGTCTCTCTCTCTCACCCACACACACATTCCCTTCTCCAGTTTTGAAAAACCCACTGTTGCTTCCTCTCACACTAAAAAAATAGTAACAGAGCTCAAGTTAGTATTAATGCTAAAATGTCCTCTAAACTGTTTTGTCATTAAAACTTAATTTTAAAACTTGCTTGTAACTTCCCAAATGAAAGTTTAATTGGAATTCACAGATTGATACAGCTGCTTGTCCAGTACACTTAAACAGCTTTAAAGCTTGTCAAGTAAAGAAAAGCTTTACTCAAGGCGCATGTTTCCAGGTTTCCACTAACCTGAACCTGGTTGGCACTGGTCCGTGCAGAGAAATTAACATAAAAAGGAAAGTACCGGTCCTTTTCCAAGTGATTCATCAGCTTATCCTTCACATACACTGATTTTCCTGTACCTGTTGGGCCCACGAACAGCAGTGGCCTTTATGAACAGAACAGAATAAAGAATGTGAGAATGCATGTCTAAACCAAAGGGAAGTAGAGTGTCAAACTTACAATGATCAATTCCATTCTACATAAAAACTCACACTCTACTTGTAATTGCTGTTTTATGAAACACTGTGAAAGTAAGGAGGGGACCCGGTGGCCTGGTGGTTATGTTAGGCTGCTAACTGCAAAGTCAGCAGTTCAAAACCACCAGCCACTCCATGGGAGAAAGACAGAACTTTCTGCTCCCATAAAGGGTTACAGTCTTGGAAACTCACAGGGGCAATTCTACTTTGTCCTACAGGGTCACTATAAGTCAGCATTGACTTGATGGCAGTGATTGTTTGTGAAAGCAATGATGGGCACATATATTTGCTCAGCATTACAGAGTATTTAATACCAATAAACTATGATTTAAACAGATGCAACATTGCTACTTACACACGAATAATAAAGTGTAACTTTTCAAAAAAGGCACAGAGAATGAGAAAGGGGTGAGAGGGAAAGGGGAGTTGATAGCATTGATGATTGTATAACCCCACCCAATGGGATTGAACAACATAATTGTATGTGAATGAATATATTGGAATGTGTAAAATATGTCAATAAAACTACTTTTAAAAAGGTGGTGGGGACAAAATGTGCTTCCTCAGAAAAGTGATAATGCTTGTACATTTTAGTTATGGGTACAGGCATGGGGGTGATGGCAATAACACAGGCTTAGACTGTTACACAGTGATCTTGATAGCATAGTGGTTTTAGGATAAACTGAATGTGAGTGAATTTTAAGGCTAACAATTATGTATTCCTCCTACCAAAGCATTTTTTAATCAAATCAAAGCTGCTAACAGAAAATGTTGGCATAAAGGCAAGCTCTTAAGAATTCGTCATTTGATGGGGCATCACTGGAGCTTTCTCATCCTTCAATGATCATAACTTTAAAGGGTGGGGTGGGATATCGTGTGAGTTTACATTCACAGAACCCTGAGAAATACCAGCTTGAGAAATGCTGCACTGAACATGAAACCTGGCACCACACAATACATAAACACAAAAGCAAAGGCTGGCAGTGAAACTGAGCAGTAGTATCCAATATTGGAAGTACCATGAAGTGCCAAAAGGATAAACTTTGGAAGAAGTATAGCCAGAGTGTCCTCCTTAAAAGCAAGGATGGTGAGACTTCATCTTGCACACTTTGGACATGTTGTCAGGAGGGGACTAGTCCCTGGAGAAGGATATCATGTTGGGGAAAGTGGAGGAGCAGCGAGGAGGAGGAATGTGCTCATCAAAATGAATTGCACAGTGGCTACAACAACGGGCTCAGGCACGAGCATAATTGTGGGGATGGTGCAGGACTGGGTGATGGTTCATTCTCTTGTGCATGGGGTTGCTATGAGTTGGAATTCACTCGATGGCACCTGACAACAACAATCAAGATAAGGAGTCATATCCCAAACCAAGCACACTGTTATCCAGGGAATTCTGACTCACAGAGAGCCTACGGACAGGGTAGAACTGATCCAGTGGGTTGCGAGAATGTCACTCTTTACAGGAGTAAAAATTTTCATTTTCACCCTTGGAGCAGCTGGTGGTTTCAAATTGCTGACTTTGAGGTTAGCAGCCCAACGCATAAGCCACTATGCCATGGTGGCTCTGAAGGGGTCTTTAAGTAACCCAAATTATGCTAATATCAAAATTCCTTTAGAACTTGGTGAGCCCTGAGAATTCATCTCTGGGTCCCAATCTAACACTTACCTTATGAAACTATTTGTTAAAATAAATTTTTAAAAATAAAATACTGTTCTTAACTTGGAGTTCATGGATCATTTACAGAGGATTCAAGGAATCTGTGAATTTGGATGGCCAAAAGGTTTTAACCTTTATTGTCACTATCCACTGACTCAAATGTAGCAATTGTATTAACAGTATCTATATCTCTCTTTCTAATAGAAATCACAGATAATTGTCCTAAATATTGTCTGCTGCAGATATTTCAAAACACTACTTCTGACATTATTTATTATTTGTCTTAGTAACTAAGCACGTTATTTATATAGCCCAAATTTGTTTGTTATTTTAATAACCATATTGTAAAATAAATGGTCTCCTTTATAACCATATGTTTATTTTTATGCATTAAAAAACATTATTCTGGTAAAGGGTTCATGGCACAAAAGAACTTCATAGTAGGAATTCTTCATAATAGCCTAAAAAGGTTTTCAATATTTACATCTAAATGGAGAAACAGAAATGCAGGTAGAAATTTGGGGTAAAATACTTTTCTTATATATTTTAAAGTTAAATCGGATGCAATTATCACAAAAATCACTCAGAAAAGATGTTCCTTAAAAACACACACAGTGTTCTGTTTGATTGGTTGCTAGTTGGCTTACGGCTGCTACTGATGCCATTGATACTAAAGGGTTTTGATTTTGTCATAGTACAACCACCAAAGTAAACCTGAGACGTGCAAACCCCATGGACAAGCAGCTGGCGTCTGGCCCCATGCTAGAGCTACTTAATTCTAGCCTCCATCCAAGAAAAGTTGGTTCTGATAACATGACCCTGCTCAATAGTCACCTGCATGAAATGATCACTGAAGATAAAGGTGCTACAGCAAAGTGTGGTGAAGAAAGCAGATGGTCCCTGGCTATCCATCAGAATAGGGTCTGGGGTCTTAAAGGCTTGTATTCAAACAAGCAGCCATCTAAGTGAGGAGTCAACTAAGTGCACATGGATGAAGCACAACAGCTTGTGTGATCCAAAGATTACAAAATTCAAATAAGGCGAAGAGAAAAGTATCAGAGCTAAAATGTATGAACACCCAATTTTAAGAATACTATGGAGGACAGTGGGAGCCCCAAACCCATCTACTGAGGATCTAGTCAGACCATGCCGCTGGCAGATCCACTCTAGTCACCAGCAAGAGTCCCAAACAGCCTTCCTATCAGACAGAGACCACTGTAATCTTGATTACGCAGGATCGAACTCGATACTTGGCCAGTTGACCTCCCTATAGACCCAACCTGAATTTGTTCTGGGTGCAAGTATTTCTTACTTGTTCCATGACAGAAATTTCTTCCCTGGCTTTTTGAATGTTGATGGAGGTCTTTTCTTTTACTCATTATTTGTATTTTTGTCTTTATGTTATTATTATTTTATTCTTACCGTCTTATTTCTATTTTGTTTTGTTGGTTTTTTGTTTCTGTTGGGTTTCTCAGTTTGTGAATCACAGGATGGATGCATAGTGATAATAACTGATACAAGGGCAACTGATACAAGGGGTGGGGGTGATAGGGAGGGAAAGGGAATTTCAGGAGTAAATAATGAAGGTGGGAGGGAGGAGGGAACACTAGAACTGATCATGATTGCACAATTCATTTTAACCATGGGGAGGGAGACTTATTCTAAAATTGATGTGCTAATGATTGTATAATACTCCTTGATATGATTGAACTATTGAGTTGTATGATATGTAAATTATGTGCCAATAAAATTGTTGGGAAACACACACACATCAATCATGGCATTTATGCTGTTCTGTAAGTTTGTCTAGTTTGTCTAGTATTACTGATAAATTTCACGACTAAGACTTTAAAAGAAACAGAATAACTATGTTAAGAACATTGGTTTTGATACAGTACATGCCTAAGCTTTTGCCCACTTTGATGTACTCTTTCGATGTGCTCTCAGCGTCTTTTTGTGTTCATCTGGAGCTGTGGAATCCAAACTGGCATAAGTCATATTTGAAAACTGCTATAGGTAATGGCAAAGTGTGCAGTGGGGTCTGACTAACATTTCAGGGGCAGGTAGAGCCTTTCAGGAGAGAACATAATATCCAGGTAAAAGCTGTTACTATCCTGTAAGAAAGACTTTGTTAAATTTAGAATACATATTTACAGCAACGTTCCTTACTTTGCATAGGTAATACTCAAATCCACTAGAAATGTATATCTAATTGTATCTATGGTAGGGACTATGATGTCTTGAATCTTGACATTTTTATTTCCTAAATTAGTATTTTTAATTAGTTCATTCCAATGGAGCCATCGACCTCGGTTTCTGAACTGCAAAAGAACATAATATTAAAATGATTATGATCATGCATTCATTATATCTTAAAGGTTCTTTTCAACACTCAATTCTCATTTTTTGCTGCTTTTAAAAACTTTACTCTTTGATTTTTATTATGAAATATTAGATTTTTACCACATATGTATAACATTTTTTAAAACATACTTTTATTGGGGGCTCTTACATCTCTTATCACAATCCATACATTCCTCCAGTGTGTCATGCACATTTGCACATATGCCGCCATCATCATTTTCAAAGCATTCTCTTTCTACTTGAGCCCCTGATATCAGCCTTCCATTTCTTTCCCCTTCCTCCCCCACCCACCCTCCCTAACGAATCCTTGATAAGTTATAGATTATTTTTTCCATATTTTACATTGTCCATCCTCCATCTTCCCTCACCCACTTTTCCGTTATTCATCCCCCTGGGAGGGGGTTATTATAGACTGACCCTTGTGATTGGTTCCCCCTTTCTCCTCCCATCATCCCCTAATCCTCCTGGTATCTCTACTCTCATTGTTG